CATATATTCCAAAAATCCAGACATGTATAAAGCGTTTATTTATAGCATTGTATACTTGCGCTTCGAGTAGGGCTGTACGATAATATTGCAAAGAGGGATGATATCGATATTGGCATTTTTTTCAACGATATAGTTAAATATCGCGATATTTAATAATAATGTCACTTTGCTATTAAATAAATTAAATATAAATGCATTAAAGCTGACTACAGTGTGAGTAAGAATTGATTTATTCATACACTTTAAACATTGCTTTTTTTATAATATAGATTTATTAAAATGAACAAAACAACATCCTTTTTGGATAAAAATTAAATACAAGCGCTGATGTTTAAAAAGCGTCTGCTTGTGACCTTGTGCAAGAATATTCTCAAATATCACCTGCAGCGGAAGTACGTAGGTGCGGTCTTCAAGTCTTGTATTGTAAGTTCAAACAGTTTAACAAATACTAAATGATCCGGACTATCTTCCATTAAAGCATTCGATTGGCTGCGGTATTCCTGGCCTAACAGTGACAGTAATCTATTTATAGATCGTTTTATTCTTGCTTTCAGAAATTAAGTTTTGTAGAGTTTTCTAAAAATATTCATTTTTTAAAAATATGACAACCTATTTATAGCCTGGTAATTAGCCGCGGTAGTGGGAAATTTCAGGCGTTTAGTAGGCCTAAGCTTTACGTGTAGTAAAAACTGACAATTTATTGTCGACTAAAAACAAAGTAAAAGTAACGCATACACGATGCAGTGAAAAACGGCTGCAGACACTGCGCAAGTGTTTTCAACATCTAACGATTCTCAAAACATTAGTTTTATTATAGTTTATTGCCGTCGGCTAATTTCCACTGCTGTATAGTGTATTTATTATTTATTTTTATGATATTTTTTTTCGATATTTGAAGTTTTTGGCGATATTCGATAAACCACTATATCGACGATTTTTTGCCACAAGATATTGTAGTTGGGTCTGAAAATACCATATCGCAATAAATGACTATATCATGAATATCGTACAGCCCTAGCTTCGAGTAGAGCCATACATTTGGACCTTGTCGTGACGCCAGTTCTAGTTCATTTATTCGCAGTTTCAAGCGTTTTATCGGTCGGAGAGGTATACCTGTATTAATGAATTCAGATATTAAGTGGCAATACAATGTTGAGCGTTCTCTATGGTGTGGAGGTTACTTTGAGCGTTTGGTGAAGTCGACAAATCCTTGTTTGAAAAAATGTCTTGGTAATGCTCACTTGACTTACAAGGAATTGATGACTTTATTAATTGACATTGAAGGTGTTTTAAATTCACGCCCTTTAACGTACGTCATTGATGAACTAATAGAGCCTCTTACACCCTCCCATTTGATTATCGGAAGAAGAGTATTATCAACACCGTCTTGCGATATAGTGTCAAGCCACAAACCAAGCCATCTGAGTGCCAGAAACGACAGCGACATACATGTATGAAAAATGTTCTTTCTCATTATTGGAAAAGATGGAGAACCGAATATGTAACGGAATTACGCGAATATCATCGAACTAGTAAAGATTGGACCTTTAATTTGGGAAGGTGACGTCATACTTGTTTACGACGATAAAGTTTCTCGACTGAATTGGGACTTGGCTGTTGTAGAAAAGACTTTTATGGGTAAAGACAATCGAGTTCGTGCAGTTCGTACTCATGATTCACAGGGAAAATTCGTGACATTAAACTTGAGCTTTCGAAAGACTAAATTGACCTTTAATGTTTGATTCTTAATTTTATCAAGATATTTTGACTAGTCTTTAAGTGTAATATCTTTTTATTCTTTGATTACAGATTATTAATTGGTATTATTGGATTATGATTCTTTAGTTAGAAAATAATTTTGATTTATGTAATTGACCTTACGTCAATTAGGGGGGAGTGTGTTGAAGAGTGAAAGATACGAGTGTCTGGACATTCGAATGCGTTGCTATGGTAAACAGCACGTGCAACAGTGTGCGTGAAGTAGATTCATACAGACTGACAAGACGAAAGGCCTTATTGTGTTGAAATGTGAAATTTTGACTGTATTATTGAGTGTAGCTGATATAATAAAGATCGATCATGACTATTCTGTGTATTTCTTATGAAATTAGAGCCCGTTTTCACAAAACAGTTGCTCTGATCTAAATTAGAGGTTATTAAGGGCTTTTCACACAAAATTAAGCAGATTTATTCTCCAAAATCTATCTGGGAATCTCCCTTTAAGCTTGTGGTCCCACTAGAGGTAACAATTTTTATCCAATTTAAAAAAACGTTTGAATATATCACCGTTACACCCAAGTGATGGTTGAGTTCAAATTTCGAGAAAATCGGACCAATACTGCCGGACAAAATGGCCGCCCCTCGTACGCTAATAGTGTAAAAATATGGTATATCAAGGATGTGGACACCTTCAGGTCACAATTTTCACCCGATTTTAATGAAACCTTAAATGCATGTTTATAACCCAAAGATCTTGGTTCCTTTCGATATTCCGGCATATTGGATTGTAATTTCCTGAATTATGACACATTTCATGTTTTTAGCTAGTGGTCCCTCTAGAGGTCACAATTATTATCTGATTTATAAAAACGTTCGAAAATATCACCTATACACTGTATTGTTGGTTGAGTTCGATTTTCGTGAAAATCGGACCAAAACTGATTTTGGGTTAATTCTTTGAATACGTCCAAAACAAGTTTTAAAATACAACAATTCAGACGTTAAAAGTGAATATCTACTTCAGTGGACTATTTGGCCGCTCTAAAAATCATTTTATACATTCAAAAATAGAAGGCTTCGACCATCAAAAAATGAAATTCAGCCACGTTCCAATCGCGATAAATGGTAGACCTGGATAACTGCGTTTTAGAAGGAATTCCTTCTGACGTCCTATCTAGTTAGATGTGAATGATCCAGTGTTAAACTACTGCTGGACACAGCCAGGATTGTTTACAGCGGATGATGTGAACGGCATATACGATGTCATAATTTATTCAAGAGATGATGTAGGTCTGGGAAACCTTCTCGTTTGCTATAAATAGTTTATTTCTTCCCGCTTGTACCTCCATTATGTGTCCTCTTGAGTTATTTTACGCGTGGAACAAGTGTGCAAAGTCTTAAGGTTCTGGAAAATTGAAATGAAACTGCCCAACAAAATGGCCGCTTTTTGTACGCAAATTGTGTAAAAGTATGTAATACAAAGGTCACAAATTTTATCCAAATTTGATAAACTTAAAACATATCTTTATGTGCCAAAGATAAGCCCCTTTTGATATTTGCACATTTCAGACCATAACTGTCTGAATTATTGCCCCTGATTGTACAAAAAAATTGTGTTTGTTTTTAGCTTGTTCTCTATCCATCTCGTGCAAAATGTGGGCGTCACAATTTTTATCCGATTTAAAAAAAAAAACGTGTCAATATATCACTGTTAAACACCAAGATATTGGTTCCTTTTGATAATCGCGCATATCCGAACATAACTTCCTGGATTATGGTCCGTGATTGTTCTAAAAACTGCATTTTTAGCTTGCAGATTCTCTAGAGGTCACAATTTTTTTTCCGATTTTGATGAAACTTAAAACATATCTTTATATCCCAAAGATCTCGGTCCCTTTTGATATTTGCGCATTTCAGACCATAACTTTCTGGATTATTTCCCTGATTGTTCTCTGTCCATCTCCTGCAAAATGTGGGCGTATCTTGCCTGGCAGCGGCTGGTTATTCAATTTTAAAAACTGTTTAAATATATCACCGTTAAACCTTAATGATGGTTGAGTTCAAATTTTGCAAATAGTGTAAAAGTATGTAATACGAAGGTTGTGGAGCCTCTAGAGGTCACAATTTTTAACCAATTTTATTTTAATGAAACTTGCAATGTATGTTTATAACCCAAATATCTCGGTTCCTTTCGATGTTCGCGCATATTAGATTATATCTTCCTGGATTATGACAAAAAAATCACGTTATTTTTCTTAGCTCGTTCTCTGTCCATCTCTTGCATGGCAACCGCTTGTTATCCAAGTTTAATAAACGTTTGTATATGCGCCGTTGAACCCTTTTGATGGTTGAGTAACTTGAGTTTTAATTTCGTAAAAATCAGACTGACATTACCTAACAAAATGGCCACTCCTTGTACTCAAGTAGTGTAAATTTTGATCTGATTTTGATGAAGTTGAAATATATGTTGATATCCCAAAGATCTTGGTAACTTCCTGGATTATGAGCCCTGATTGTATGAAAAAATGTGTTTTTTGGCTTGTGAGCCCTCTAGAGGTCATAATATATCACATTACATCCTAATGATGGTTGAGTTCGAATTTCGTGAATATCTGACCGAAATATCCCGATAAAATGGCTGCTCCACGAACGCAAATAGTGTAAAAGTATGTAATACCATGATTGTGGACCCTCTAGAGGTCACGATTTTGACGAAACTTAAAATATTGATTCCTTTTGATATTCATGTGTATTGGACTGTAACTTCCCGGATGGACCCTTGATTGTTCAAAAAATCACGTTTTTAGCTTGTGAAACAGTTAAGTTGTAGAGGTCACAATTTTTATCTGATTTAAAAATAAAAAACAACATAATGACAGTTGAGGACGAATGGCTGCTCCCCTTACGCAAATTTTGTAAAAGTATATATTATCAAGGTTGTGGATGCCCTAGAGGTCAAAATTTTTTATCTGATTTTAATAAAGCTTAAAATGTATGTTTATATCCCGACTTTTTTTTAGCTTGTTCTCTGCTCATCTCTTGCAAAATGTGGGTGTATCTTGCATGGCAACCGCATATTAACGGATTTTTTTCAAATTTGGTGTGAAGCATTGTATTGATGTGGACGAATCCTATTTGAATATGTTTGATATTCAGCATTCTACGACTTTCAGTTCCCGAGTTCCCCACAGATATGTGGGCGTATCTTCCATGGTATCCATTTTTCTATATATATATAATATTAGTATGATGTTTGTCATGAATATTTTTGTTCTTGACAGATTGCCTTACAGTTTCCTGATGAACTATTAGTCAATAGTGTAGAAGTTCTTGAAAAACTACAAAATTGTACAAAGCAAAAATTATTTGTACTTGGTGATACTTCTTATGGAAGGTAATCAATTCTTAGCCCATCAAGACTCAAACTAGTAATACTCTACCTATTGATACGAATGTTAAAGCCATTTTCAGAAAATAAAAGTATGGTAGACTATTCATCCAACCACGTCGGCTGCACTTATGGCTGTGGTTTCGGAATTCCATTCCCAGACATAAAGAGCAGTTCTATAATTTGGAATCTTAATGCCCAATGGGTAGAAGGACAAATATCGACAATCATGATTTTTTGATATTGTGGTTCAACCCAATGAGGTACGGTTCAACAGTGTCTCGAAGACAAACGTAGTATATTTAAAGGACAATATTGGTGTCAGTCATTACCACATATGTGATAGCAGCCCTAGAAATTCACGCGAATCTCTGAATCTAATTCGTGCATTGTCGAGTCCAACTATTGATTGTCTGTCGGGGTCAGTGTTCATAATTGGCTGTATTTTGTCGGCTTTAGCCGATTGGTAAAACAATGAACCGGCCACTATGGTATCATAAATAATCAATCTACTTTCGGCTAAATTACAACGGGTTAAATATTACTTGTTAATTAAGAAGTCAATCAACTTGCTTGTCGGCCAACAGTCATACCTTAGTGAGAAGCAGCCATATGTGGTTCATTATCCGAGTAATTAGCACATTTAACGGTTATTTTGATAATCCGGTAAAAAAAACAAAACAAGCTTGCTGATTATTCATAATAGGTTCAGTAAAATAAGCCGTGTATCGAATGAAGACAATCTCGGCATCATGCAAATCCCGCGTCTTCCATGCTCCGTCCGTGTGAATTCCAGGTAGCGGTAGATATTAAAATAATAACAGGATCTAACATTGAAGGATCCACTGACCAGTTGTTAGTTAAATTAAATCTTTATTGAATATAATCCCCTGATAGAACACCGAATACATGGAGAGAGAAACAGTGGGTATTTTCCCAACAGAATCTCCAGTGCCGAATTCCAATGACACCTGACATATCGGTTGGAATTAGGTCAATAAACCAGATCTTAATAATGTCTACCGTTATGATTTTTATACGCCAACATTTTCATGTGAATGTATATTGTCGTTGCCCCCTTCGTTTGTCTGTCTGTCCGTCCACAATTTGTTTGTGGACACAATACAGGTCACAATTCTTATCCGATTTTGACGAAACTTGAAAAATCGTGTTTTTAGCTTGTGGTCCCTCTATAGGTCACAATTATAATCTGATTTACAAAAACGTTCGAATATATCACCGTTACACCATAATGTTGATTGAGCTTGAATTTCGTGAAAATCGGAACCAAAACTGTCGGACAAAATGGCTGCCCCTCGTTCGCAAATAGTGTAAACATCTCGTACAAAAAATCACGTTTTTAGTTGTGGTCCCTCTAGAGGTCACAATTTTTATCCAATTTAAAAAAAATGTTTTAGTATATCACCATTACGCCCTTGTGATTGAGTTTGAAATTTCGTGAAAATTGGACCAAAACTGCCAGACAAAATGGCCACCCCTCGTACGCAAATAGTGTAAATATATGGTATATCAAGGTTGTGGACCCTCTATAAGTCACAATTTTGATCCGATTTTGATGAAACTTGAAATATATCTTTATAACCCAAAGATCTTGGTTCCTGTCGATATTCGCAGATATCGGATCGTAACTTCCTGAATTATGGAACTTGATTGTTCGAAAAATCGCTTTTTGTTTAGCTTGTTCTCTATCCATCTCTTGCTAATGTGGGCGTATCCTGCCTGGCAGCTGCTTGTTTACGAAAAATAACAGAAAGCTTTAACAAGAAATTGAATTTAGAAACATGCATGTTAGGCACCTCAACAACTGTTTTCAGAACCTTGTAAAAGTAAAATGATACTACTGCTAGTATCGTGTCTAAACCAAAAGATGCCGCTCCTAATGGTATAGTTAATGATAAAGCAATTTAGAAAAATAAAACGAACATAATTTCTAAAGCTGCTGTAATAACCAAAAAGTTAAATATTACTGCTATTCAGAATCGTCAATAATAGATTTTTTTACGGCTGTAATAGATGTGTAGAGAATTTCATATGCGATAGATATTTATAGACTCATAGACTCTGGTATTGTACCGTGGTACTAGCCAGAAATCACTTCGAGACAAGCCACTGAAGCGTGCACATTCACCGTGTCGAGTTCCAACTTTCAGTTCAGAAAATTTTCACTGCCCCTCAGACATTCCTGCCCCCCATGCATACACAGAGGCTGTGAAGTTAAAAGTGACACAGCAAAGTGCATCAGTAAGCGACACAGTACATTTCAATTTGTATCAGTTAATTTCATCCAAGGAGCTGTGTCCGTGTTTTGAAAATGTTATGCTGACGTCATCATTTAACGTCAAAATAAGACCTGATGACGTTGCGGGTTTGATTTATGATAAATTCTAACTAAATATTCTGACTCGCAGTTGTCATGTTTCTATTTGTATTAAATTTTTAAGGTGAAAACTCAGTTATGAGGCTCCAAATGTACATTGGGTGGCCATTTTGAATTTATGCAAATTAGGCCCTTTCCCGGCCCGAAAATTAGAGACTTTGGATATGTTATAGAAGATGATCCCACACACACAACTTTACCAATACACCTTCTGTTGCAATTTGTTCTAGGTTGCCATATATTTAACCTAGATTGACTTGACTGTAAGCCTATGGCCTATGGGCTATTATTGTATTTAAAGGATGGATAGTGTATTTATCTTAAATTTAATTTCAGTTGTTGTGTAGATGAAATAGCAGCTCAACGCTATAATGCAGATTGTTTAATACATTTTGGACGATCATGTCTTAGTAAGACAAGTAGACTTCCAGTTTTAAATATATATGGACAACATAAAATTGATGTAGATAATTGCTTCTGTGAAGTAAACAGACTTTTGCCAGATACTGATATCCATGTTATTATATTGTTTGACACCATTTATAGACATTGTGTGGGTAAGATATTTATTAACTGTGATTAAATAATAACAGACTTACATGTCGTGCGTCCTTCATCTGTTAACAATTTACATTTTCAAATTCTTCTCCTGAATATTGAACTTGGTTGTTATGCTGCTCTGGTGGTGCAAGGGCACTCTGAGTATGCTAAGAAACTAAATAATTGAGTCATAGTGAGCTTACAAGCACTGGGTCATTCCATGTCAACTGGACTAAATTCTGAGAAAATTGTCGGGTGACCCCCTCAGAATATTATGATAAAAATATATGTTATAGTCAGTGACCTTAATCGGCTGTTTATACGTCCACATGTCATCGCCCCTTTCAGTCTGAACGTCCGCCCACAATTTGTGAACCCTCTACAGGTCACAATTGAAATATAGGTTTACCTCTAAAAGATCTCGGTTCCTTTTGATATTGGCATGTATCGGACCGTAAGTGCCTGATTGTACGAAAATTCACATTTTTAACTTGTGGGCAGTCTAGAGGTCATAATTAATAAAGCTTGAAATGTATATTTATAACCCAAAACTCTTGGTTATTTTCGATATTCACGGATATCGGACCGTAACTTCCTGGATTATGGCTCCTGATTGTAAGAAAAGTCGCGTTTCATTCGCCCACCCGTCTTCATTAGCCCTGTTTAGGAGCAGAACAGTAGGACGTTAAACCCCATTTCATTTCATTTCATTCGCCCACATTTACATTTGGACGTATATTGTTGTCGCCCACAATTTGTTTTTGGACCCGTTACAAATTAAAATATCATTCAAATATATCACAGTTACACCAGGCCCAGAGCTAGCCCAAAAATTTTTGAGGGGGGGGGGGAGAAAGGTCTAGGGAGCTGTTCCCCCAGAAAATTTTGGAAAATAGGGTTTGCAATTCCAATTTTGAGGCTGAATTTGCGATATGATTGTATTATCTTTTGAAATGAACATCCTAAAAATTTAAAGGAAGGAATACGAATTCATTCGTGGACGCCTAACCAATCTCACTCGGCATTATGGGTGCCCCGCCAGTTATATTATGGGCACCCCACTAATTATATTATGGGCACCCATGATCTCGTCGTGGGCTGCCCACCAATCTTGGCATTATGGCCCCCCCCCCCCCCGGTATGATGCACCCCACCAATCATGCTGTTTATGACGCCCCATTGATGAAGCCGTGGGCGGCCAACCAATCTCACTCGGCATTATCCATTATGTGCGGCCAGACAATCACATAGTATCATTATAAGACGCCCCACCAATCATGTCATTATGGGTGCCCCTCCATGATAAGGCACCCCACAGATCACGCCGTTTTGGGCGGCATTCAATCAGGTTGTGGTGTTAATCTTGTGATTCGTTATGAGGGGGCTCACTATTTGGGTGGCCTCATATATAACATGTTTGGCGAGGCGGCCATAGAACTAAGTGACATTGGTTGGGCACCCCGCCAATCTGGTCGTGGGCACTCAATGATACTCGGCTTTATAGGGGGCCTATAGTAATATGGGCATGTTAGTCGTTGACTTCGTATTTGGTCCAATGACTATGGGCGTGGTGATGGTTGGGTTCGAATTTCGTGAAAACTGCCAGACAAAATGGCTGCTAACTGTATGCAAATACGCAAATAGTGTTAAAGTATGTAATATCAAGGTTGTGGGCCCTCTAGAGGCCACCATTTTGGTCCGATTTTCAAGAAACTTAAAACATGTGTTTATATCACAAAGATCTTGGTTCCTTTCAGATATTCGCGCATATCGGACTGTAACTTCATTGATTATGGCCCCTGATTGTACAAAAAAATCACGTTTTTATCTTGTGGACCTTCCAGAGATCACAATTTTTATCCGATTTTAAAAGCTGTTCAAATATATCGCGTTACACCATAAGGACAGATGAGTTCAGATTTCCTGAAAAATGGACAGAGACTCCCCGATAAAATGGCTGCTTTTCGTACGCTAATAGTGTAAAAGTTCTCAAATAGTGTAGAAATATGGTATATCAAGGTTGTGGACCCTAGAGGTCACAATTTTAATCCGGTTTTGTTGAAACTTGAATGTAAGTTTATAACCCAAAGATCTCGGTTCCTTTCGATATTCGCGCATATCGGACCGTAACTTCCTGAATTATGGTCCCTGATTGTACGAAAAATTGTGTTTTTAGCTTGTGGACCCTATAGAGGTCATAATTTTTATCCGATTTAAAAAACCGTATTATTATATCACCGTTACACCCTAAGGATGGCTGAGTTCGAATTTCGTAAAAATCGGCCCAAAATTGACAGACAAAATGGCTGCTGTTCGTTCTCAAATAGCGTAAACAATATGGTATATCAAGGTCGTGGACCCTATAGAGGTCACAATTTTTATCCGATTTTGTTGTAACTTGAAATGTAAGTTTATAACACAAAGATCTCGGTTCCTTTCGATATTTGCGTATATCGACTTGTAATTTCCTGAATTATGGCCCTTGATTGTAGGAAAAATCACTTTCTTTTTAGCTTGTTCTCTATCCATCTCTCGAAAATGTGGCCGTATCCTGCCTGGTAGCCGCTGGTTATCCAATTATAATGAAGCTTAAAATATGTTTATATCCCAAAGATCTCGGACCGTAACTGTATGGATTATTGCCCCTGATTGTATGAAAAATCACAATTTTTATCTGATATTAAAAAAACGTTCAAATATATCACCGTTATCACGGTTGCGTCCTGGATTATGGCCCCTGGTTGTTCGAAAAATCGCGTTTTTAGCTTGTGGACCCATGTTTTGTTTTTTACTCGCCCACATTTTCATGTGGATGTATATTGTTGTTGCCCCGCGGACATCCGTCCGTCCACAGTTTGTTTGTGGACGCTCTACAGGTCACAATTTTTATTCGATTTTGACGAAACTTAAAATATAGGTCTATCTCCCAAAGATCTTGGTTCCTTTCGATATTGACATATATCGGACCATAACTTATTGGATTATGGCCCCTGATTGTACGAAAAATCAGGTTTTTAGCTTGTGGACTATGTAGAGGTCACAATTCTAATCCGATTTTGATCAAACTTGAAATGCTTGTTTATAACCCAAAGATCTTGGTTCCTTTCGATATTTGCTCATATCGGATCGTAACTTCCTGAATTTTAGCCCATGATTGTACTAAAAATTGCCTTTTTATACGCCCATGGAAACGTCGTATATTGCCGTCCGTCCGTCCATTGTCCACAATTTCTTGTGCACACTCTACAGACTACATTTATGATCTGATTGTTTTGAAATTGATATATGTTGTTTGCATTAGTGAGATGAAGAAGCCTATTTAATTTTAATAACTTCTGTTAAATTCTTCTGGAGTTATGGCCCTTGTTTCCCTTTGTTGCACCTTGTGAAGGCTCTAACGACAAAAGTTATCAACCGATCTGTATGAAATTTATATGCATCATTTAAATTAGTAAAACAATAGAAGCCTATTGAATTTCAACAATTTCAGTTTATTACATCTAGAGTTATGGCTCTTGTTTCACTTTGTTGAATCTTGTGAACGCTCTAATGACAACAGTTATCATCCGATCTGTTTGAAATTGATATGCATCATTTAAATTAGTGAAACGGAAAAGCTTATTGAATTTTAGCAATTTCCGTTAATTACGCGACGTGAGTTATGGCCCTTGTTTCACTTTGTTGTACCTTGTGAATGCTCTAACAACAAAAGTTATTATCCGATCTGTATGAAATTTATATGCATCATTTAAATTAGTAAAACAAAGAAGCCTATTGAATTTCAGCAATTTCCGTTAACTCTAGAGTTATGGTCCTTATTTGACTTTGTTGAATCTTGTGAACGCTCTAATGACAGCAGTAATCATCCGATCTGTTTGAAATTGGTATGCATCATTTAGATTAGTGCAACGAAGAAGCCTATTGAATTTCCTCAATTTCTGTTAATTACGTCGTGAGTTATGGCCCTTGTTTCACTTTGTTTTACCTTGTGAATGCTCTAACGACAAAAGTTATTATCTGATCTGTATGAAATTTATATGTATCGTTTAAATTAGTAAAACGAACAAGCCTATTGCGCTTCAGCAAATTTCCATTAATTATGGCCCTTATTTAACTTTGTTGAATCTTGTGAACGCTTGAACGACAAAAGTTATCACTTAATCTGTATGAAATTCATATGCATCATTTAAATTAGTGAAATGAAGAAGCCTAATGAATGTCAGCAATTTCCGTCAATTACTTCTAGAGTTACGGCCCTTGTTTTACTTTGTTGAACCTTGTGAACGTTCGAACGACAAAAGTTATCATCCGATCTGTATGAAATTTATATGCATTATATGAATTAGTAAAACGAAAAAGCCTATCAAAATTCAACAATTTCTGTAGATTACTTCCAGAGTTACGGCCCTTGTTTTAGTTTTTAGAACCTTCTGATGCACACATTATCCATGCACACAAACTTTTGATCCATATAAATATCGTAATTAATTTCTTCGACATCGGCAGGACTAAAAATTTGTGCGAATCGTTGCATTAGCTTTAAGTCTGTGACTCGAAGATTCGTACAATTCCATAATCAGAATTGACATGGATTCTGCCAAGTAAAACATACGTCTCAAATCATGCTTTAAATTTAATGTAGAGGCCTATGACCTTGCCGTTGAGAAATGCGTGGAATTCAAATTCTAAAATATCGGTACAAAATTGAATTTCAAACACGAAGTTGCACCTGTACTTGACACTATTCTATTATTAACCATGTGCAGAGAGAACAGCTGATCGCGCCCCCTGGAATTCCTTTCTCACATTCCGACTAATTTACTCTAAAAAATTATATGTATATTGTTTTCTTTTGTCAAATTGTTATGTAAATTATACATAAACTTTACTTTTGGAAATTGTTTTGAATTTTTTCAGTGTTTAAATTTTCATTGGAGACAAAACGGGAAACATCGAATTGTTATGGTGCAGGCTTTGTGCCAAAATTATAAGGGAGTCAAAGTTAAACTTGGGGATT